CACCCTCCCCTACCTTCCCTCTGAGGTTTGATGGTCTGATTGATGCTTCTCTGTCTCTGGATCTGTTTTTGTTCATCAGTTTATGTTGTTCATTATATTCCACAAATGAGTGAGATCATGTGATACTTACCTTTCTCCAACTGACTTATTTCACTTAGCATAATGCTTTTCCTACAGTTTTTTAAAGATATAATTTACATGCAATAAAATACATCCACTTTAAGTGTACCATTCTCTGAGTTTTGGCAAATGTATATGGTTGTGCAAATGGTATCTTCTTTGAAACTATGTGCCTTAACTATTTGTTTCTGGTGTATGGAAATGCAAATTGGTTTTGTATTTTAATCCACTATGTAGTCATCTTGCTTCACTTGCTCATTAGTTCTAGTAATTTGTATTCAGATTCTTTTGGATTTTCTCTAAATAATTATATCACCTGCAAATAGTGACAGCTTTGTTTCCTCTTTCCCCTCCTTATACTTTTAAGCATTAATCATACTTTTTTTTCCCTTTTGGTCTTAGAATGCTGGCTAGAACCTCCAGTGCAATATTGAATAGAAGCAGTTTAATAGGCATTCTTGTGTTATTGCTAATCCCAAAGAGAATGCTTTCAGCATTCATTTCATATGTTATGTGATGTAGTCTTTGCATAAACTATTTATCAGGTAAAGGAGGTTTCCTTTTATTACTAGTTTTCTAAGACTGCTTTTTTTTTTTTTTTTGGTCATGAATAGATTTCAAATTTTATTATTTTTTGCATTAATTGAGATGATCAAATGAGTTTCTTTATTCTATTAATGTAATGAATTACATTGTTGTTGTTTTTTAAACAACCCTGGAATAAATATAAATTGACTCTTCTTTTAATACACTACTTGCTTTCATTTGCTAATATTTTGTTTAGCTTTTTCCTATGTTTATGAGTTCAGTTGTTCTGTAATTTCCCTTGTTTTTGTTGTTGTTTGTTTTTTCTTTAGGACAAAATTCGCTTTCTTCAAAAACTTGAGGAGCATTCTCTCTGTTTATATCTTTTAGAAGAGCTTAAGCTTGGAGTTATTTACCCCTTAGCCTTCTTTGTGGGAAGCTTTTTAATGGGTAATTCCAATTTAAAAAAATAATTATAAGACTTTTTATTTTTTATTTCTTTTTGAGTCACTTTGGAACATTTTATATTTGTAGGAATTTGTCAGTTTATTCTAAATTTTCAAAGTTATTGGTACAAAGTTTGTAATATTTTATTTACAGATTGTGTGCTCATGTCCTTTTACATTCCTACTTTCGTGTATATATGGTTTCACTTTATCTTTTTTATTCTTTGAAAAATCTTGCCATAGGTTTGTCTAATCTATTGGACTTTCAGAGGACCAACTTTTGGTTTTGATGATTTTCTTATTGTATGTATTATATTTTTAAAATTTCATTTACTTTCATCTTATCTTTATTATTTGTTTTATAGTTTCTTTGAGTTTCTTTTGCTACTCTTTTTCTAACTTCTTTAAAGACATGGTAGTTTACTCATTTCAACTTGTTTTTTTCTAATATACACATTTAAGGCTATTAATTTCTTTAAGCACTACCTGACTGGTGTCCCAAGGTTCATTATATAA